TGGTCGCCCAGGTCTACCGTCTGGCACTCTAACCACTACCCCATGCTGGCTCTCCCAGCAACTGCTATTCAGAGGCATATTGCCTCCAACAATGGAGGTAGTAAGTAGCCATTGTGGCTAGCAGCCTTGCCCTCCATGAAATAATAATAATAATAATATAATAATAATTTATTATTTATACCCCGCCCATCTGGCTGAGTTTCCCCAGCTACTCTGGGCGGCTCCCAATCAAATGTTAAAAACAGTACAGCGTTACATATTAAAAACTTCCCTGAACAGGGCTGCCTAAGTATCTAATCCTCTTTGAAAAGCTATCCAAATTGGTGGCTGCCTCTACCCTGTTCTGGGAGCAAACTCCATAGCTTAACTCTGCACTGCGTGAAATAGCATCGTCACTGGATGAGCCTGGGTTTTGATATTATGAGAGAATAGATATACAGTGGTACCTCGAATTACAGACGCTTCAGGTTACAGACTCCGCTAACCCAAAAATAGTACCTCGGGTTAAGAACTTTGCTTCAGGATGTGAACAGAAATTGTGCGGCGGCAGCAGGAGGCCCCATTAGCTAAAGTGGTACCTCAGGTTAAGAACAGTTTCAGGTTAAGAACGGACCTCCAGAACGAATTAAGTTCTGAAGAAGAAGAAGAAGAGGAGGAGTTTGGATTTGATATCCTGCTTTATCACTACCCGAAGGAGTCTCAAAGCGGCTAACACTCTCCTTTCCCTTCCTCCCCCACAACAAACACTCTGTGAGGTAAGTGAGGCTGGGAGACTTCAAAGAAGTTCAAAGAACTTCAAAGAAGCCCAAGGTCACCCAGCAGCTGCATATGGAGGAACGGAGACGCGAACCCGGTTCACCAGATTAGGAGTCTACCGCTCTTAACCACTACACAACACTGTCTCTCGAGGTACCACTGTATACTCTTCTCTGTCCACCATGAATAATTGTATACACCAGGCATAGGCAAACTCGGCCCTCCAGATGTTTTGGGACTACAGCTCCCATCATCCCTGACCACTGGTCCTGTTAGCTAGGGATAATGCGAGTTGTAGTCCCAAAACGGCCTATACCGAGTCCCCATATGATGTGTCTTGTGTGAAACACATCATATGGGGACTTCCAGGAAGGCAAAATGGCAGGCGCCACGGCAGCAGGCAGTTCCTGAAGCCAGTGACAGCCAACTGTGCTACTGGGCTGGCTCCAGGCTGCTGAGACTGCCGCTGCCACATTTCCTGGGGACATTAGATGAAATCCGGGTGCATTCCAGGGATGTAATTTGTCTGGGGAGAAATTTGCAAATATGGGGACTGTCCCTGGGAAACAGGGATGTCTGGTAACCCTAATCTGGAGGGCCGAGTTCACCTATGCATGGTATGCTCCTCTATCATAAGTCCTCTTTCTCTCCTTTTCTCTAAACTAAAAAGCCACAAATGTAACTTTTCGCAATTGGAGAGTTGCTCCAATCCAGGGATCATTTTGGTTGCTTTTTCCTTCAGCAGACAATGTTATGATTAAAGAAAAAAACAAAAACATTGCTGACCCCATCTCCCTTTTATGAAATCGCAATGTTTTATGTCGTAAACTGCTCAGATATAAATGCTTGAATAAACAATGGAGGCTTCTTATCAAGCAAAAACAGCATATCCCAGTTGGGGGAGATGGAGTTGGCTTTGAAAGGGTTCAAGACTTCCCTGGGCTATGGGGCATAGGCTGCAATTCCTTCCTTCCAATACATAAAATGGGAAGGGGAGTGCAGATTTTGCAACGTGTGAAAGTAATGCTGCAAACAAAGTTTAATATCAAGTGAGATTTGGGGGGGAAATTGGAGATCCCTCCACAGGTGGAAGCATCTGAGGAATTTCAAGTAGCAGCCAAAAAATGTTGGGAGAAGATTAGTGAAACGTCTTGGGCAAGGTATGCAGAGAAGATGAGAAGCAGGAGGTTATTGCCTGACCACCATCTTCCAAGGACAAGCATGCTAAATAAAATGCTTTTGGAGGAAAAAATCTTTCTAAAGATAGTTTTCTCTTTAAGTTACATTATACTCCAAAGGCTATTCATCAGGAAATAAGGATTTGTTTTAAGTTTTTCATGTGTCTAAGTTGTGCGTTTTTTTAAAAAAATTGTTTAGCCACATCAGTTAACGAACATAGACACATATGTTAAAATACTATTGTTTTAGTTAAATAAATTATTTAAATTGTTATTAGGGAAATTATTATTTTTCTCCTTCCAATAAAGTACAGCAGAAAAGTTGTCCAAATATAAACCGTTAACTTATTAAACCTCACAATAATTTCATAATTATCTATGTATTTCTAATAGTATAACCAAATCAGAAATTTTTGATATAACTGTAAAAACTACTCTGAAAATTTATTACTCCAAAAATGAAACCTTCACCTGGTTGTAAATATTAAGATTATACCAGCAAGAATGAGTCTTTCTGTAAAAAAGAGAGATTTAAATCAAGTCTTACTGACTAGTGATTTAAATCGATTTGATTTAAATCGAATCCACCCTGCCAGTAAGTAAGGTGAATCGGTATTTGAGTATACAACCTCAAAAACCTTACCGAACACTGTTGTTTGGGCTAAGTTCTGGAAGAGATGATGAGAGACCGATTTATGTGAAGAGCTGGTGTTGTTAAAATCCCAAAAGCAATTACTGGCTGATGGGGAGATGACCTGGGACAAAAGCTGTAAAGGTGGTAACTGCCACGGAAGCAGCGCTGAAAATTTTACAGGATTTGCATCTTGACAATAAAGACACTGAAAAACGAGTCTATAAACCAAGAGCACAGCCCACAACAGAAGTTCATAGATCTGGAGAGGGGCTTTCGTTGTAGAGGAACGCATTCAGCCTCTGTTTGTAAGCACAAAATGTCCCAATGCTGGGCGTTTTAGCAAGAAATTGCAAAGGGGTTGCACAGCCAAGTCAGGACAAGAGGCAGACAAGAAAACAAAAATTTGCACATTGTTTACAGGAGGGAGAAGAAGCAGATAATGAGGACCACACAGTTTACTAAATAATGGGGGAGGCATGGAAGGAGTAGAGACTTACAAAGTACAGTTCAATAATCATCCACTAAGCAGAAAAATAGGTACAGGGGCTTTTGTTACGTCAGTGAAGATACTTGCCAGCCAAGAATTAGGTAAAGTTGTGTGGAAGTCAGTTAGAGGGAGGGAAAGAGGTTGATGCTTTATGTAAGCAATGTCTTAAGTTGTGGATTTATGATATGAAAATGTAATTAAACATGGAAAACTTAATAAAAAATATATTTTTTAAAAAAAGATACTTGCCAGCCATGCAAATGAAGCCCAAGTACACTGACTAAGACGTGGACCAAATTAAGGAAAGGGGAAAATATTCCCATCTTAGCATCAAGTCTTCTAGTCCCATACAAAGCACAACTTGAAGTCTTAAAGGCTTCCCCTCCTTTAATAAAATTATTAAACCTCACAATAATTTCATAATTATCTGTCTATGTATTTCTAATAGTATAACCAAATCAGTAATTTTTTATATAACTGTAAAAACTACTCTGAAAATTTATTACAGTGGTACCTCAGGTTAAATACTTAATTCGTTCTGGAGGTCCGTACTTAACCTGAAACTGTTCTTAACCTGAAGCACCACTTTAGCTAATGGGGCCTCCTGCTGCCGCCGCACCGCTGGAGCACGATTTCTGATCTCATCCTCAAGCAAAGTTCTTAACCTGAAGCACTACTTCTGGGTTAGCGGAGTCTGTAACCTGAAGCGTATGTAACCTGAAGTGTATGTAACATGAGATACCAATGTATTCCAAAAATGAAACCTTCATCGTGTTGTAAATGTTAAGGTTGCCTTTCTGTAAAAAAATAAAATATAAAAATAAAATTGATGTAAGTCAAGTCTTACTCACTAGTGATTTAAATCGATTTGATTTAAATAAAACCCACCCTGTATTATTACATGAAAATATGTTATACTTTTTCTTCTCCTTCAGTTAAGTATTTATCATAATATTTTATATGCCTATCAAATCAGTGTTTGCCATGAACCTGTATGACGCGTATACCTGAACAGGTAGAACAAGTTACTGAATCATATTTTTAAAAAATAGTCTCTGTCCAAAACTGAGCTAAGCCATTGAGTTTAGAAATACACATTGCATTCACTTTAGCAAAATATTTAGAAGCAAATGCAATGCGGTGAAATGGAGAAAAAAACCCCACAACATATTGGACTGGACCAAAGTTGTTAATGGTTCAACTCCTTGGTTGCATGAAGCAGTCCTTCCTTTTGTTTGTCTTGAACCAAAGGCCAATCAACACCACTGGATCTCCCCAAGTTCTAATATTACAAGATATTTGTTTCATCCATTTTGTCTGTTGAATGCCTGTAAAACCAAAGACCTCTGAAGGATACCTATATATGATCTGGTTGTGTAACATCTGCTACAATCCTCTCTTTTTCCCAAGAGCCTGAAGATTGATCCATACAATGAAGCAACATTTATTTTTGTTGAGAACACTGAGACAAGTCAGGTGAATGCATAGCTCTAAAGTTTTCCTATGTCTCCCCTCCTTCCCTTCCTTCCTTGAAATGGAAGAGAATTTCATTTAGTCCCGATTTAAGCAACCTGATCTGATTCACCCCTCTGAGACCAATACATAGATCTGAACACCCTTATCCTTCATATTTCACATTTCTCTGAATTTTGAGATACCATTCTCAGCTCAGAAAAACCTACCAAAATGTGTGTTTTTTAAAATTCTGAGACACATTACATATTTAACTAACTTTGGATCAGAGTAGAGACCAACTGAAATTAATGGTCACAACTAATGCAGGTATATTAATTTCAATGGGTTTATATTAGTTTAAGTTTTTTTACAGATGCATGTGAAACAGGGTGGAACACACGACAAATGAACACATGTTAAATTGTTTCAGGCCAGAAAGATACTGGTCCATCTATTCCTCACTTCCTTCTTCCTCACTTTTTCTTTCTTTCCAATTTAATGAAAAGGGCAAGCTGGTCAAATTCTCTAGGGAGTGACATTTATCATCCCATTTGCCTTGGCAAAAGATTTAGAAGCCATGCAGTCTAGTGGAAAAAGAGAACAGTATCACACATCCAGTAATATCACAGATACCTGGACCATCATAAGAAGGATCATGGGGCAATCTCCAGAATCATAGTTGGAAAGGACCCCAAGGGTCATCTAGTTCAACTGCCTGCAAGGAAGGAATCCCAACTAAAGTAGCCATGACAGATGGCCATCCAACCTCTGCTTAAAAACCTCCAAGGAAGGATAGCCCACCACCTCCCAAGGGAGTCTGTTCCACTGTTGAATAGCTCTTACTGTCAGAAATTTCTTCCTGACGTTTTGTTGTAATTTCCATTTTTGCAACTTGAATCCATTGGTTTGGGTCCTATCCTCCAGAACAGGAGAAAACCTGCTCCATCTTGTGTGTGACAGCCCTTTAGATATTATGGCTATCGTATCTCCTCTCAATCTCCTCTTTTCCAGGCTAAACATACTCAACTCCTTCAACTATTATTCATATGGCTTCGTTTCCAGACCCTTGGTCATCTTGGTCGCCCTCCTCTGCACACGTTTCAGCTTGTCAATATCCTTCTTAAATTGTGGCACCCAGAATTGGACACAGTATTCCAGGTGTGGTCTGACCAAGGCAGAATAGAGCGGTACTGTTACTTCCCGTGATCTAGACACTAGACTTCTGTTCATGCAGCCTAGAATAGCATTGACTCTTCTTGCTGCTGCCTTACACTGTTGACAGAAGTTAATAAAAAGTCCTAGCAGATTAGATAGGAAGATCGCTCTTCCATGTTGGGCATTTACATCCTAGGATAAGTTTGGGAACCTACACTAGCAACTGCAAAGCTCAAAAGATGACAAGAACATATATACTACCCATGATGATAATTAGTACTTGACCTTTGAGTTTCTGGAAATGCAAGTCAGCTCTAATATCATCAACGTGACCTCAATCTGTCCCCTTCCATGCATGTGTGGAGCTCTCCACAGCAGCCACAAAACCTCAGGCTATGGGATCGTCAGCTCTCATAAGCTAAATAAGAGCAAGTCTTTGTTGGTACTTGGAAGGAAACCTTCACAGAAAGGCTTCCTACTCCAAGCAACTGATGGTTGGAAGTTGTGTCAGCATCTCTTGCTTTGACCCTAAACCTCTCTCATTTTGGAGATAGGGACAGCATCACTGTGTTCACACCAAATATTTAAAGCATGTGCAAAGCACATGACTTCCCATAAGAATACTGGGAACTGTAGTTTTTTAAAAAGGTGCAGGGAATGTAGCTCTGAGAAGGGTAAACTACAGTTCCCGGGATTATCCCAGGCTTTAAATATATGTTCAGGTAGGTAGCCTTGTTGGTCTGATGCGGTCGAAATAAAAAAAATTAAAAATACCCAGAACAAACTTAGTTGGTCTATTACAGGGGTCAGGTCAGCAAACTTTTTCAGCAGGGGGCCGGTCCACTGTCCCTCAGACCTTGTGGGGGGCCGGACTATATTTTGAAAAAAATATATGAACCAATTCCTATGCCCCACAAATAACCCAGAGATGCATTTTAAATAAAAGGACACATTCTACTCATGTAAAAACATGCTGATTCCCAGACCTTCCACGGGTCAGATTTAGAAGGTGATTGGCCCGGATCTGGCCCCTGGGCCTTAGATTGCCTACCCATGGTCTATAAGGTGCCAATGGACAATTTTTTAATTTTTTTAATATATGGTGTGCATGCAACCAAAGTGAGATACAGATCTGAGGACTGTGATGTGTGACACACTATTAATCCATGCAGCCTTTTGGGGCAGACTCTCACCAGTATCATCAGAAGAGCCAAATACATTATTTTACAGTATAATTGCATATAAATTATCATCAAACACATATTTCCCATGGTGGTGCCATCTCTACGGAGATCCAGATGAGATCAAGCAGCCCAACTCCATGCCTTTAGCGGTGCCTATTATCGTAGCTGCTGCGGTCAAGTGCATAAATGACTTGACCAGGAATTACCAGCAGAAAGAACCAGCAAGGAAAATTTGCACCAACTTCTTAAGAGCAATGCTGCCACAAGAAGATGTTAGATTGGTGTGTGTAGATATGTAGAGCTGTAGAAGTGGCTGTGTTTGACAATAAAGATAAAGGTACCCCTGACCATTAGGTCCAGTCGTGGACGACTCTGGGGTTGCTGGCGTTTGTCCGCAGACAGCTTCCGGGTCATGTGGCCAGTTCTGGCGAACCAGAGCAGTGCATGGAAACACCGTTTACCTTCCCGCCAGAAAGGTACCTATTTATCTACTTGCACTTTGAGGTGCTTTCGAACTGCTAGGTTGGCAGGAGCAGGGACCGAACAACGGGAGCTCACTCCATAGCGGGGATTCGAACCGCCGACCTTCCGATCGGCAAGCCCTAGGCTCAGTGGTTCACACCACAGCGCCACCCGCTTCCCTGCGGGTTTGACAATAGTTATCTGCTATTCCTTTGGCTGGGAAGCACCTTGACACTAAGGCTCCTCTTCCACTCTCATCTGCTTGCAGCTCTTTTTATGTTCTTAACTACCCCTTATCTGGATTGCAGGGTAAGTAGTGGAGGTGAGGGCTGCACCTGCCACAAGTGCTACCTCCATCATTGGAGGTGGGATGCCCCAATTGCTAGCTGCCTGGGAATCACAGGGAGGAGAGTTGCTGCTGCGCTCAGCTCCTGCTTGCAGGCCTCCCATAGGAATTGTGCTTGAAAACTGTGAGGATGGAATGCCAAACCAGATGGGCCATTGGCTAGATCCAGCAAGGCTCTTCTGGTGCTTTTATGGAAGATTTGGATCCTCTGCCTTTCATTTTCCCTGCCTTTCCAGGCTAGTCTGCCTTTCCAGCCAAAATCCGGGAGAGAGAAAAATTACCCCAAATTCATCTTGGAACCGAACGTGGCTGAAACTCAAAACTCAAAGCATGCACTTAGCACATCCAGAGCACCTGGATCCAAACCTTAATTAGGTCCCATCATCGACTTGTAATTAGTACTCTGCATTATGTGGAAAGTGCTTTCAGGTACTTCATTGTCCCATAATTCCCTCCCCTCCGTTCTGCGAACTGGAAATCAGTCAAAATAAGAAGTGACAACTCCACCTCCACCTTGAAGAGGAGGATAAAGACAAAGAGTGCAGTTTGGGACCATATTGTGTGCCGTTTCCCTCCCACACACATGCTGTCAATCAGGAACTGCTAGCAGCTCCATAAAGATTGAGATGGGAAAGGGAGAAGAAGAAAGAAGGGGGGGGGGGGAGAGAGAGAAACTTCCCTCAAGAAGTAGACCTGTATATTGAGGAGGAGGGAGACTGTCGGTTAGGAGCAGAGAAAGAACTAGAAGGTACAAAAATCATTTGGTAGCTTTCTCCTTGTGCAAACTAATTTTAAACAAGGGCACAAACAAGGCTGGCATGTCAGTCATTCCAGACCAGTGAAATATCGAGACAATTGATTGTCTATTTGCTGCTGTCAGATGCTGTCAAACACTCTGCGAAACCGAGAACACCCTTGGGTAAGTGAAGCCTATATTTTTGGATGCATCATGAGGTTATCTGATGGCAATGGCAGGAGCGATGGCCCATCATTCTGCCGCTCTGCAAGCTTCAGAATCACCCTAGGGCAGTTAGCTTAACACCCACACCCAGTGCTTCGCCCTCCCCAAGAAAAATAGGTGCCGAAACTAACCATGAAGTTGTTAAAGTAAGTCACCTGGTGACTCAGGGCAGCCGTGAACAGGTGCCAGTTTGGCAGCAGCTGTGTTTCACCACCTGCAGAGGTGCTAAATGGCAAGCTGTCTCCTGAGCTGTTTTGGGGGTCACCCCTAGTTCTGGTGCAGGCCAAATAAATGCATCCTCGCCTCCCTCATTCTCAGATTCAGGCAGATGGCTAGGGCAGCTCGGAAGGGCCCTCGCACAAACCGCTACATGGAAGATGGACTGAATAAAAGGAAATACGAATTGGCCTCGCCCCGTAGCTTGACCAATCATGGCTAGGAACAGCTAGGAGCTAGGTGTAGTCATAGTGTTATGTACTGAGTTGAATAGGATCCAAAAGGCAGCAGTCTGATTGGTCCTAGAACACTAGGATTCAGAATGCAGCAGCCTGATTGGTCCTAGAACAATAGGATTCAGAATGCAGCAGTCTGATTGGTCCTAGAACAATAGGATCCAGAATGCAGCAGTCTGATTGGTCCACAGGAGCCACCCAATCCAGCTCCAGGTGGAAGTGAATCCGCAACCTGATTGGCCTACAGGAGAATCCTGGAATTAGCCAATCACGTGGGCCCATTGTGTAAATAATGTATATAAGGCAGACATTCTGGGGGAACGTCCATTTCTCCTCACCACTATGAGCTGAATAAAGAGCATGAAATCCACTCTCGACTCCGAGTATATTTCACATAGATTCTTTCAAAAAAAAGTGTAGACTCGCACACACTGGCCAGCTTCCGTTGTGACTTGAATTGTTCGCTTTGGGCCTCTTAAAAGTGTGTTAAAGCCAGAAGCGGGCAGGGGCAGCACTGTCCTGCAATGGTGCCCACCTGAGGGGTGCCGGAACTGCATACCAGCTGAAAAGAAAGCACTGCCCACACAAGACAACTGACTTCCCTGTTTGTGGGTGATGATGAGTATGGACTTGGCGGTGCCAGCCCTATTGTTAGGCAGAGTGAGGTGCTCAAGGCAGCTACTTTCGGGTGTCGAGAAAGAACAGCAGTTTTTGGTTCCTACAAGCGGAAGTGAGGTCCACTAGCTTTAAAAGAGGATATGGCTACTGGTGGCGGCTAAACATGGTGGCTGTGTTCTGCCTGTGAGCATCAGTTGCTGGGAATCAGACACGGGCAGAGCCCTGTTCCACTCAGGTCCTCCTTGCGGGTTGCCCATAAGCACTTCGGCTGGCCATTGTGATCTGGCGGGGATATTCCAACATTCTTAGGCAGGTTTAAAATTCATTATAATTGCACTTCTTGTCTGCCAAGGAGGGGGGAGAGGTACTTGTGAGAGTCTCTATCTCAATTGCCAAAGGAACTTTGTGGACCTTGACTTGGGAAGGAGGGAAACATTTGTTGCTGTGCCTCAAACAGCAAAATCTCTTGAGCTGGCCCCAGAAATAAAGGTGAGAGGGGAGTGTTTTGGTTATCTTTTTATCCCCCCAGGGGACAAAATTTTAGAATCGTAGAGTTGGAAGGGATCCCGAGAATCATCTAGTCCCACCCCCCTACAATGCAGAAATCTCAACATTCGCCCAACAAATTTAGAGGGTTCTTTGCTAGCAGATGCTGCCAACTTTCTTAAGTTCCTTTGTTATCCCCTTTCTCTACCTGGACTTCTCTGATGTGCTGAGAGGAACATGCACATTGGAACACAGCATGTTTGGCCACATGAACACACCGCAATTCCTTTTCTACCACTGCGCTTTCTCAACGTGTAAAAGACCCTCTTGCGCCTTGGCAAGGTGGATCAGGGTAAGCGGAAAGCAGTTACCTTTAAGCTGGCGAAATCTTCCTGTTCCTACCGACAGGTAACTTCTCTCATTCTCCCCCCCCCCCCTTGCCGCTGTCCTCTTTTGTTGCTTGTCTACAACAAACTGTTGCCCTGTTCAGATGCAGGTTAAAAACAGAGCCACAATCTAGACCTTAAAAAAATAAAATAAAATAAAAATTCTATCTTGTACAGCAAGACAATTGGGTAGTGCAGACCTTTTTAATGATGTCCCTGTGGACTGTCCAGGTGAGGACCGCATTCTGTGCGAGGCTGCTGTATCACAGTATAACGGCAGCACAATTTATGATCTTTCTTTAAAAAGAGAGAGATAGAGAGAGGAGCACCTCCCTCCTCTAGCTATGTCTGTACAGAATATAAATGAGGCACACAGGGCAGCCTAAAAGCTTGAAGACACAAAGAAAGAGATGATCTCTGTTCAGCTTAGTGCAAGAAGAGGCATTTTCAGGAGATAACGGGATAGGGCTTAATGGGCTGCATTGTAAGGGAAATCGCTAGGCAAATTAGCACGTGGCTGAGATGAGCCTCCTGTCCAACATGCTCAGGGAGGTTCTTCCAACAATGAGGGGGACATCCTGGCACCAAAATCTGCACCTGTGCAGCCCAATTTGGTTAAAGTTCTAGGAAGAAAAGCTTCACTGCTTGATTCAGCCAGTTCTTGCTGTAAGCACAGATGTAAGTGAGAAACAGCACCCTCTGTTAACATGGAAATGCCACCCTAAGGAGCACCCTCACCATAATATTTTAGGGAGGTATCTTGATGCTCCTTAACATCATCTTGCCATGCATTTCTTGTTCTAAAGGAGAGTGGGGAGAATACAATGCTCCATTTCCTATGGCAGCACTGCGCTGAGCACCATTACACTTGATCTTAGCCAAAAGGTTGAGAAACTATGTTCTGGAGAGTAGCAATTGCGAATGGCAGAGATGGGGAACCTGGTTGGATTCTAAGTTCCATCAGTCCCATCCAGCCTGCCTAATGGTCAAGAATGATGGGAACTGTAGTACAACTGCACCTAGAGAACCACAGGTTTCCCCATTCAAGGTTTATGCACTTTGTAGGAAATACAAGTTCAGCTGTGTGGGAACTGCAAATGGAGCCAATCTCGTATGTTTGAGAATTCCTAGTGTAACTATCATAATCTTAGGAAGGTCTACCTAGAGTTCAACATTCACTGTATAAAAGGTAAAGGTAAAGGGACCCCTGACCATTAGGTCCAGTCGCGGATGACTCTGGGGTTGTGGCGCTCATCTCGCTTTATTGGCCGAGGGAGCCGGCATACAGCTTGCGGGTCATGTGGCCAGCATGACTAAGCTGCTTCTGGCGAACCAGAGCAGCGCACAGAAATGCCGTTTACCTTCCCGCTGCAGCGGTACTTATTTATCTACTTGCACGTTGATGTGCTTTTGAACTGCTAGGTTGGCAGGAGCTGGTATTTTGACAGAAGCACCTTTGAAAACCTTCTGATGGTAACACATTACTGAAGTTGAAAATCAAACACCAGAAAACTGCTTTCACAACAGAAGATAGGCATCTGACTTCACACTATGATACATTTGGAGGATCATTTCAAGATTCCTAACCATAATTCATGAAGCTGGGAAAGAGTGTTGGGGTCAAGGATTCCCCTCTTCCAGTTTCAAAATGGTGATTCTAGGTTGCACTAAAACTAGGAATATTCATATCACCTTTTTTTCCATTCCTTACCAGTTGAGCACGTACTGAACCATATATCAATTTCATCACCTCTTCTGCAATTTCTTTTAAATGCACGAGAAAGTTGCATTTAAAGTCTGTGCATTTTTGTGTTCACTTTCCTCCTATATATACATTTTTACACATTTCTGAACAAGCAATCTTGGTATGCACCCTAGAATCTGATTTTTTAAAAAATGTGTTCAAAAAGACATAACCGGCTTTGTGAACTTCAGAGAAGTGTGTAATTCAATTGTAAACTGCATACTTATCCACAGACGTCTGGGAACTGGTTCACTTTAAAATGTAGACTGAACAAAACTATTCTCTCTCACCAAGAAATGAGTTCCCCATTATATTCAAACCAGAGGATTCTGTTGAATATCATTTAACAAACCAGGAATATAGGCCAGTGGATGAGGGGAGAGAGGAAGGTTAAGAGAGGCAGCGCTCAGCCTCCTTGTTGTATATTTCCAACTTCACCAGCTCTGGTTTTTGAAGCTGAGAATGATCATCCGTGAAAGGCCAATCCGAGAACTGCAAACAAGCATCCAAAAAGGACAATGGTTCCTTTTTTCACACACTGCCGCTAAAAGGTTGGACACCATTCCAAAGCCTAAATGGCTTGTTTAGCTTATGGCCATCACAAATACATCTGATGCTTTTGTTTCAGATAACAGCTCCCTGCAAAGAGACAGCACTGGAGCTAAACTAGGGCCTCCATAAAACTTAATGAGATATGATGCCAAGGCATCATCTTCTATATGAGATATGATGCCAAGGCAGGAGTCTGGAGCAAGTCAGGAATAACTCACAAGGTGTCAGTGAAGTTACCGTATTTTTCGCTCTATAGGACGCACCTGACCATAGGACGCACCTTGTTTTAGAGGGGGAGAAGAAGGAAAAAAAATTCTCCCCCTCTCTGCTCAGCGCCCCTTCAGCGAAGCAGCAGGAGAAACAGAGCCCCTTCCATTTCTCCTCTCGCTTCACTGAAGGGGCGCTGCGC